TAGTGGCAACTTCATCAAGGTACTGGGTGATAGTTTTTGTACCTTTTCGGAGTGTGTGAAGTTTGTCCCGTAGTTGATAGATGTGAGCAGTAGAAACAGAATTATACCGGGCAGCGAGAGCGTTCCATAGATCGGCAGATGTGGTGAAGTTGCGGACATGCTTGTGAACAGACGGACTGATGACGGCAAGAAGGCATGCACGGATCTGAGTATCAATCACAATCCATGTTTGGAATTCTGGGTTAGGGTTTTCCTTGCCATCCTTGGATAGGATTTTTGGAGGCACAGCTTCATGACCATCGATCCAACCAAGAAGAAGGTTGGCCTCGAGAGTAGTTTTGACATTGAGAGACCATGCAGGATAATTTGAATCGGTGAGCTTCTCTGGGATAAGATTATGGAGATTGCGGAGAAGAAGCTTGACGCCAGAAGGAAGCGAAGCAAGCGGATCTGAAGATTGAGCCATGGTCGCCATTTACGGTCGACCGGCGGTGAAGCACAGTCTCGAAAAAAAGGGCTAGGGTTTAAACCTAGGCTCTGATACCATGATACAATTTGATAATAATTTGTCTTATTGAATATTGAGAGATATGTCCCTATATATAGGGATTACAAGAGAGAATCCTATTCCTAGTAGGAAAGGAATAAAGTAAGTATGGTAATACAAGAATAAGGAAACTAAATAATATTAGGAGTGTTCCTATTAAATCTCCTCTCTCATAGCCTTCCTCCATCGTTCATCCTGGAATGCCTTCTTGAAACTCGTGGGCTCCACTTCAGCATCAAGTGCGCTGAGAAAGCACTTATGTTTCTAAGAAAACTTCTCATATGTGACATATGAAGAGAGAGGATATTTGCATTTCTCCCCGACATATGGTCCAACCACATGGGTAACATAATCGGCAAGGCGTACATTTGGACCTTTCTCACGCTGACCACGTCCCAAGTTCTCCACCGCTGGCTGGGAAGGGGACGGTCGACCGCCGTCCGTGGAACGGTCCACGGGGTCGACCGTTTGGAGCTGTTCTGGATCGCTAACTTTCTGCCTCGGAGACGGTCGACCGTCTTCCTCATCACGGTCAACCGTTTGATCATCTCCCAAAGAACCATCATTCTGCCTCTCGAACGGTCGACCGTGGATATCAGGACGGTCCACCAAATCGACCGTTTGGTCATCTCTCAGAGATCCGTCATTCTGCCTCTCTGACGGTCGACCGTGGGCATCGGAACGGTCCATCAAGTCGACCGTCTGTAGCCGGTCAGCTCTGCTGCTTTCCTCCGGTCGACTGTCCCTCCTGGAACGGTCCATTTGTTCTTCTGTCCGCAGTTCTTCATCATCATCATAAGAGCTAACCTCATTTGTGGTTCCTGTATCAAGAGATGCACCTGTAGGAGTCAAGAAAGGGAAAATATCTTCACAAAATACAACATCCCAGGACACCTTGATTTCCCCAGTGTCCGGGTAGTAAATACGCCATCCCTTCTTCCCTTGTGGATATCCAACAAATATTCCAGGATTGCTTCTTGGTGCAAATTTATCACCATTCCTTTTCAAGTTATGAGCATAGCATCTGCATCCAAAAACACGAATATGAGCCAAAGAGGGGGGCTTTTCATAAATCTTCTCGTATGGTGTGACCCCCC